TTGCATATCAACATTCTTATCTTTTTGGAACTATATGTATACACTATAACAATATGCAGCGCAAATTCATAGTAGTATTTGAATTGAAAGAGCACTTTTTTTGCGGAACTCAAGTTAAATAACCCATGTAACCAAAATTATGGTGTACAGACTTCTAATAATAGTCGCCGATGTACGATTTCTCAGTTTAATCTGTGATTTAGTATTTTTGCTTTATTCCAGATCTTTGTTAATGGAGAACGTTTCGCATCGTTCGCTCATCGTTGCGACCCCAACGACATCAGCGGCCTGCAGATTCAAGGCGATATTGAACTGACCGGCATTCAGATCCAGTAGAGAACGATTTCTTTCACGTCGCACTCTAGCTTAACGCCCTCAGCGTACGCTTTGATCTATCCCGTGTTTTCGGTCGTATGATATTCCTTCTCCCCATATATATTCTATCATTTGAAAAAATTCTTTTGATATTAACCCAGCAGCTCTATATTGTGGTTTTGTTTCGTTTTCTTTTTCTTCAAAAGGATGTTTTTGTGTGTATTGTGAAACAATCTTTTTTATTTTATTTCTCATACCCGCTAGCTTAATGCATGATCAATAAAGTTTTTGGAAGTTTGCCACACATCAAAATAGCTGGAGAGCGGAAAAGCGGACCTTTTTAAGCGCTCGATACCGTAGATTATTTCAATTTAAAAATTGTCTTATTCCTAGAGTTTTGAAAAACTCATTCATACACTCGACTCTGTGGATTCTTTTCTCCTTTTGGGACGCCAAGGCATTCATCTGATAAACTTCATTAATCACTATGTTATTTTACTGGCAAAACTATATCATATTGATAATAATGTCGTTAAAATTTTATGTATTAGGTTGTCGGAAAAGTTCATGACGCTTTTTTCAAACTCAGAACTCCCAAAAAAAATCGCAGTTTTCACAGCAAAATACATATCATTCGAAAGAACAAGTCTCCCCCTACAAAATGTTGCGCTTCGCTAATCCACCGATTTGGATTTTGTAAAATTGAAGAAATTGAAATCCAAAG